ATATATATATTATTTTTTGTAAATGTCTGCACTGAAGATTACTTTTGGTTTGCCTTTATGTAAATTTTTTACGTAGCTATTTTTATACACTGTAAGGCTTTGTTCTGGGAGTTGCTCGTAATCTGATGTATAGTGTAATGTTTTTATTTTCAACATTTTTTGCACCCTTTAAAGAGGTACATTTCTAATTCTGACTGCTATCAGTAAATCTACTTTGCACAGTGAGTATTTAATTTATAAAATTGCCTTATGGAAAAATGAAACATTTTTTTGTTTTTCAAAAATCACTGTAAGAAAAAAATATTTAAAAAATCTGTAAGGGAAAAATAGAAAAAATCAAACTAACCACTTTATAATATAATAAAAATCTGCTAAACTATTAATAACATGTACATAATTGTCAAAGGGTAATCAGGTATTATTCAAGATTCATGTTATTGTGTATACCAATGTGTATTATGAAGTCTTTTTTAGACAGGAAAATCTTTTTATTGATAGCATTCTGAAAAACATTTTTTTTTCAGTTACATGATATATAGTATGAATGACTGGAATTAATTAGTTCAGATTTTTTTTTTGTTTTCCACTGCCTTAAAATTACCTTTGTTTTTTTAAATTTCAAAAAGGAAACAAATAATTGGAGGTTTTTTCTTTCTTTTTTTAAGTGGTCATACTTAAGCTGCATTTTTCCACAAAATAGAATATATATATTTTTGTGTGTATGTGTGTGTTTTTGTTAACAACACTACAGATATTGCACCTTGAGATGATTTTAGTGTTTTTAACTGGTACATAATTTATCAAAAGTACAGAAATTGTAACAATACAATGAAATCTATGTATCTTTAGTTACACTCAAGACTGTAACTTTGTAGACCTGTTTTATGCTTGAGAATTTTTTTAGAAAGTTAGCATAAAAAGAAACATTTGGATAGATCAGGAGAAATAGTGTTTAGCAATGTTTCCTCTTTTAGCAGAAAACTAGCATTTGGGAGGATATAATAACTTTTTTTAATCAGCAGGGAGATAGAATTAGAATAAGCATATGGTTTGGTTTACCAGTTTATGATTCTGGGAAAAAGGAGTCTCTAGCTTATTGGAAAGTTGCTTAGGAGAGAAATGGAGATGGACATTAGGAAATGCATTTTGCCACATAGGAGAGGGGGAGGGAAACTGTTGTGAATTTGTAAAATGTTAAATGTTTGGGCAGTAGTGACTAATATCTTAAATAAAACCTTCCTATAATGTATTGGCATGAATTAAATACATGAAATGTTTTAGAAATTCAATAGTGTATAAAAATATTACACAAGAATCCTGTAAAAAGTCCTCTCTGCACTGGGTAAGGCTTTATTTGGCAATGTAACAACAAATCTTGATAAATGTTAAACCAAAGTTAAAAGGGGGATAAAACCAAAGTCTTGTGTTCTGTATGGCTAAGCCATTTATGAAATCTATGTAAATACTGTGATTTTTTTTTCTTTTTCTCCTTTTCCTTTTTTAGAATTTGTTTACAATGATTCTAAAATTTTTAAGCACCTGTTTTCCAAAATAAAATGTGAACACATGCAAAAAAGATTATAATTTGTTCTGATGTGAAGTCATCACTACCTTTAAGAAAAAAAGCAACTGTTATAAATACAGGAAAGGGGGAAACAAGATTTAAAGTGGCCTTGGATAATATGAAATATAAAAATAAATACGAAGGTATTCCCATTTAGGAAAGGAAATCTCTTTGCTCTATTAATAAAAAATAAAATTATTCACACGACTGCTTGACCTTGCTTGAAACTGAAAGAAAAAAAAGTGGAAGTGCTTAAATT